CAAGAACACCAAGACAACGAACAGAAGACACAACAGAGAGAGGAGCACCATTGAGATACAATTGATTATAAACGTACGGAAAGAGGTTGAATGAGAAAGGAAGCCAACAACATTTAGAAACGTTTAAGGACATGAGATTGGAAGAAGACCAGCGAGAAACAGCGTTTATACAGTTTTGAATATGAGAAAAATTAGAAGAATCAGTAGAGGAAAGGGGAACAATCAGAAAAATATCATCAGTAAAGAGACAGATTTCACAATTAGATAGAAGTGACAGAGGTAGATCGTTAATAAAAATAAGAAATAAAAAAGGTCTGGATGTAAAACACTGATGATTGTTGAATTGATAAACCTTACTTTTCTCCATGTAATAATGATTATTTAAAAACAAAATATATTTTTTTCTTTTCTGACACATTGAGTTTACACTGCTTTTCATTCTATCTCTAGAGATTGAGTAATACAGTCTAGAGTAAGAAAAGTCTCTTTTATGTCAAATCCTGTGTACTTTTCTACTGAGTAGAAAGTACTTTTAACCACTCAGTGCTGTTTATTCTTCAAATAAGGATTTATTTATTGTCTACTAGTGTCATCTCGCATTGATTTGTGCCATACGTCATATGTTATCATGACAACTACCTCTAGAAATATGAATTGCATTAACTCAGAAATCATTAAAAAAAATGTGATTCATTCAAACAATAAGATAATTTTACTTATAAAATTTATTTAAAATAAATTTCATTCACTCAAGATACTAATGCACTTTTTTACATCGAACATGTTGTATGAATTTCTATGACTCATCGATTCTTTTAATCATATGATTCTTTTCTATTCGTTTTCTTTCTACATACTATTTTTTTTCATTTTCCCACACAGATAAATTGCGTTGCATCAACGCATAGACAATCACTCAATTTTCAATAGAAGAGTGAACTAAACGTAGAACAACGCTGAGATTCATAATGTTTAACTGAGAAATTCTGGATACACATTTTTTTTTTATTTGTTATGTGTGAACGTGTCGAATGGTCGCGTTTTTTCTCTTATAGCGAGAGAAAAACATCTATGCCAGCTGTTGTTTGAGTAAAATATTTATGGTGAAATCGGTACTCTCCCAATGTTTAGTCATCTCTTTTTTTTATTTTTTTGTTACGTCTATTTAAAAGTGTATTTATTTGCTTTTCCTCGATTAATAAAGTCTCTTTATATATTTTTTAGATTTCACTTATTCTACTTAAACAGTGTATCAAACAGAAATGGTCGAATTTAAATTATCAATAGTAAAACCCGATTCAACATTTGAATGTCGTCGTATGACTTTACCGTCGTCATCGACAAATATGTTGAACGATATAAAAGCAAAATTATACGAATTTTATCCACAATTGGCAAATATGAACATTAAATTTGATTATGAAGGTAAATAGTACAAACAAAGTTCATTTTCTTTGAAATACGCGACATTTTATGGAACAAAAATAAGAAATTTTCTTCAAGAAGTGGAAGTGAGAGTCTGATATACTAGAAAATTTTCATTTGTCCGACACATATGTTCGTTTTTTATTAACTTAAGTATTTTTTTTTAAATCTTAAAATTGTTAAGCATCATTCAAACTACGTTCAAGAAGCGAAAGAGAGCGAGTATGGAAAAATTTAGTTTTCAAGTCAGTTTTTATCAAGGTATTGAGCAAGAGTTTTCGTATGAAAAATGTTGAGTCATACATCGGTCGATGATCTAATTTCAAATATGACATTTATTTTGATTAAAAATATTTCTCTCATAGTGAAATTTGAATTTTTTGTTTTGTAAACTCTTTGCTTGATTACATGAGAATAATCGTTAGTAGTATAGATAAATATTTTGTCAAAGAATGAATGAATAGAGCACTCATTATACTGAACACTCTTGTTTGAAAACGTTTCTAATTAACGTAGTTATTCAATTCAAATACAACACTCTTTCGTTAATATGTGATGCTATTGTGTGTACCTATACGCATGTCGTCATCTTATTCTAAATATCCGTCTTATTGTGAACTAGATAAGAGAAGCAAAAGAACTTTTATCCAGATTGAATTCGCTTTTCATCTTCATATGTCTTTTTGACACAAATTTTACATATGTAGCTAAAAAGAATGATAAGTTGCGTTTGACTTTCTAAATCGATTCTAACTAGATCATTAGCAGAAATGAATCAATCAACTACTATTACTTACAAGACTATTTTATATTTAGATATTTCGACCTTTTTATATGGTCATTTTCAATATTAACTGAAATGAAAAATAAGAAAAAATAATACACAATACTTTGTACTTATCGAGAAACGTGATGTATACGCATATATACAAAATAGGATTTTTATGTTAAAATTTAGTTTTCTATCATATCACATTCTTTGATGAGTAAGTATAAAGTGTAGTTTTGTTTCTCGTTTCTCATTTCAGTTAATATTGAAAATGATTCGTATAAAAAGGTTGAAATATCTAAAGAAAATGGGATTAAAAATAAAAACTATTGCATATGATTGAATTTTAAGTCATTGCTCTTTTCATCGAAATGGTACTTTGAAGACAATTCTTTTCTTTTGTTTATTTAGATGATCAAGGTGATTTGGTGACAATTTCATCAGGATCTGAACTCGAATCGGTATTAAAACAACATCCACATACACATTTATTCCGAATTATTTGCACATTTATATGGGTACCACCTCAACAAGAACCACCGATTCGACACATTGGAGTTATTTGTGATGGTAAGTGTCGAATATATCAATATTAAAATACTTTCATTTCTTAGAGTTAAACTGAAGATCATTGTTTGCATTATACTAAATGAGATGAAAAGCGTAGATGAATACGCTCTATTCAATATACCGGGTTCACCAAAATGATTGCAACATTGTATATTTTGTATATATCTCAGTATGGCAAAATAATAAAATCTTCAAATTTGTTTTTAAAAGATGCACAATTCAATTCTCTATAAACGTCTATTTATCTCAGTTTAAAATAATAGAAGTGAACGATTTTATAGGTCATATAGTGTGATGATATGAATTGCATCTACTTCCCACACATTTTTTTTATTAATTTATAATTTTATATTTATACAAACGAATATTTAGTTTTTAAAACATAACTCACTGTTAAATAAATCTTGAAAGCCTCTGTCGATTGTGTATATATACGAAATTTTATAATTTTTATTCTTTCGGTTAGGCGGCACTTTCTGCAACGCCATATTCTGAGTATGGCGACGTTTTCTTTATTAGTTACGTGCTCCTTTTGAAACAAACATCCTAGAAATGTCACATACAGCCAAACCGAGTTCATTTTTACAGTATTTTGTAGAAAACGGATTTTTCTTTCTACTCTGAGCCCAAACAGCATGTGATAAAGCGATTCAATTGGACGAAGAATCTGAACACTGTCAAGAAGGCTGTTTTTGTTGTGGCACCTTAGGCAAACCATTGTTATTAAGCATAAGTAGGATGTGATCAAACGCTTACGAATAATTCTGAAAGAGCATTTTTGATATTCAATAGTATTACAAATAATTCGTTGTTTTAGATGTCTGTCTATAACTTGAAACAAATCGAAAAAAAACATAGTAAAAATGTGGGAAGTAGATGCAATTCATATCATCACACTATGTGACCTATAAAACCGTTCAATTCTATTATTTTAAGTTGAGATAAATAGAAGTTTATAGAGAATTGAATTGCGTATCTTTTTCAAAAAAACTTGAAGATTTTATTATTTTCCAGTACTGAGATATATGTAAAATACGCGATGTTGCAATCAGTTTGGCGCATTCGATAAGAATGTAGTCAGTTTTCCACTGCCTTTTAACCTTTTGAAGATGAAATTTATATATATACGTTTGCGAAATTCACTTTGAATACGTATGTCACGTACATATACATGATTCATATTCAGAGCAAATTATCCAACAGTTTAGCATTATTGGAAGAGCAAAATGAAATGAAAGAAAAACAGCGTTTAACGTAAGAAAATGTCATATGGTTTTCTTATTTTTTATTCTAGGTTGTGATCAAACCCCGCTTGTTGGTATTCGTTATAAATGTTTGCAATGTTATGATTATGATTTGTGTGAAAAATGTTCAGATCAAAAATTAATACATCAACATCATGTTCTAGCTAAATTAAGAAAACCAAGTCAGGTAATAACAAAGATATCATTTTATTGAAACGTTAAACATGTGATTTTGTAGTTGATCTAAGATTTATTCTATCAGAATGCAAGCGAAAATATATCCGGTTTTGTCATCTAAAACATAAACTATTGAAAAATGGAATACTCGAACATGCATTTAGGTGTACAATGAACTTCAGAACTAAATTCACTGTTTCTAGCCTATATATATGTACAACAGTTGAAGTTGTCAGTGTTCATTTTTCTCCAGAGAAAAAAAGCTTACAAGGAGACCTCGCAACTGACACATCACTTTTTCAGCCAAACCTAGTGGGTTATAGGTTATCAACTATGCTGAATCCGAATATCATAATGACAGCTGTCCAGGGATCTTGAGAGAGCGGTTTTCTGGAAAACCAGCGTTTCCGAAACTCTAAAACATAAATCAAAACCTTTCTTAATGGGGCATGGTTGTAGCGCGCAAATTTCTGATTAAAATGAGACATCCCCCAGCTCTGCACAACCTTTCTTTGCAAAGTTATAGAATTTACAACAAAAGCCCTAAATGTTTATTGTCAGCTCAAAGCTACAGAAATAAGAAATTAATTTACGGCTTTTGTTGTAAATTCTATAACTTTGCAAAGAAAGGTCGTGTAGAGCTGGGAGATGTCTCATTTTAATCAGAAACTTGCGCGCAACAACTATGCCCAATTCAGAAAGATTTTGATAACGTTTTAGAGTTTCTGAAAAGCTGATTTTTCATAAAACCCGTTTGTGAAGGTATCTGGGCTGCTATCACTATGACATTCGGATTCAGCGTAGTTGATAACCTTTAACTGACTAGGTTTGGGTTAAAAAGCGATGTGACAGTTCGCGAAGTCCTCTCGTTAGTTCGTCTGTTGTCCACTGTGTATGTCTTTCTATCAGTATAGAAAGCAACAAATTTTCTTATTAAAACTCGTATATCTTTGACTCATTATTTTCTAATCAATTTGTTTAGGTTGAAGTTGTTCGTAAATTGCGTACACCATGTTTATACAACAACAAAGGTCAACAACAGTCATCATGTGTTACGCATCAACAATCTGCATCACCAGTTCCACCTGTACAATTGATTTCTAATTCTCCTACGGATCCTGTTAAAAATGATTATTACAATAAACAACCAATGGCTACCGTTGTCTTGTTGAATAATGAGGGAAAAATACAAGTTGTTAATCCTCTACCACAAGTTGTTATTGATAAAAAGCAAAGTCCAGCGGCTCCCGTAGCAGTTGTTGAACAAGAAACAAAAAAGAAAAATGATGTAGCCGATACGATTGATGGTGTTGATATTGAAATAATTGATCGGGATGCGTTTGAAAAAGATTTTATACAATTAAATGCCAATGATTTACATGATCACGATGATATGGTATGTTCGATTTGAGTTAGAAAGTATACTAGATGTAACAGGGCATAGTTTAGTTTAGTTGATTTAATATGAGAATAATGTTTGTGTTGCTGCTCATACGAGAGCAAAACCAAAATTGCGAAAACTTTTACCAAGTAGACAGGACGGTCTGATGTTTCTCTTCTAACTTTCTAAAGATGTTTCATTTTTTGACAAAAAACCAGTGTAACATTGTGTAGAGAAACAGGCTGACATTCTTGTGTCAACTTTCTTGTTCTTCGAAGCATAAAAGTCTCTTAGATGAAAGTCTGTGCGTTCTATCTGTCAAAATAGATAAAAAGTTGCAATGAATATGATGGTCACGTACATGCAGCACTATTTTCTACTTGTATGCCAAATTTTCTTGGGAAATAGAAATCTGAGCTGATTATTTAGTGCGGTTGATCTCTTCGATTTTGGCCAAATCCATATTGTTTCTGATTAGTTGATGAAGGAATATCACATGTAATAATCTTGTTTGCTAACCAGCTGTTTGCATTCTCCGTTCATAGCCAGATTTATCTCAAACAAGTCTCTTATTTTTATCTGTATTTTAGACTTCTCCCACAGTTGTTCTTACTGGCAAAAATTAACGAAATTATTATTGGCAAACTAACTCATTGTTTTGTAGTTTTCGATTGTAAATAGCTTTTGATTTTCTTTTTTGACTTTTTCTCCTTTATTTCATTGCGATCAGTTTTTTAATCCTGCTGCTTTATTGTATTGTAATCAAGATTCTTCTTTCTTTCTGCTACCTGTCCCACTTCTATCTATCATTCGTAGCCTATGTATATATGATTGTTTTTCCAAAGAAACTGTAGAAATGAGTTATGTGTGCTTTTATCTTGATAAATATGTGACAGTGGTGTTCTTATATTTGATATCAAAATAAAATCTAATGAAAGTAAAATAATACAACTCAACAAGGAATATACCGACGGCTATCGAACAATTGTTCTGTCTTCTGATGAGCAGTTATTACGATAACAGAATATAGAATCGATCCTTCAGTTATGATTTTGATGCATGCAGCAAACTTCTGGTTTCAACTATCAGAATAGATAAGACTTTATTTCCTTGAGAAAGTACACGGTATGTCTTACGAGGAAAGGACACCAACTGGCAAATCGCTTTTGGCCTAAAACTAAGTGGAAAATAGGTTATCGACTATGCTGATTCCGAATATGACAATGATTTGGGCTGATAGGCCTTTGGAGACCGGGTCCCTGGAAACCTGGTTTTCCAAGG